TCCTATCTTTATATATATTATATGTCACAGTCATAGAAAATGACAGACCAAGCTGTTCCAAAGTACATATGTCCTTTGAGGGATAGATGGATATCGAGTTGGGATGTGTTGCACCTCTACTCTTCAAAACTGTCCAGAATTAAAAGCAATTATTTGAACTCACGGTGTAGATGATAGTCCTATAATGTTCGGCCACTACAAGGAAGTATTTTTAGAATAAATTGCATAATTTTAACTTAGTTTAAATTCACATAGAATTTAAAAAATATGACGATGAAAAAAAACGAGAAATACACAATTAGGATTCTCAAATGTTAGTTTATGGAGATTTGACTGGTTTCAATTTTGACCACGGATGGAAATCAGTCAGAGAACCATTGAAAATCAGGGAGTACTGGACAGCTTGTGGCTTCTCAGCAGTACGCATCCACGATCCCACCTGGGAATGAACCCATGATCTTCATGTTACAAGGTTATCTGGTTGACAGTTTCAATCACTGGAACACTAACCAATGGCTCATGATTTTAACTTCTGTCAATTTGTTATCAAATTTGATACACCAATAAAATCCTTGCAAAATAACACTTGAAGATTAGCCTGATGCTCACCAGTGACTGACTACAGAATAAAATGGTTTGGAGTTCTAGTGGAAAGGGGTGACCAGTGGGTCCCATCAGGCTGAGTGTCAGAAAATATACTCCACATATCGCGAAATGGAAGAAGTTAAAACTGATAAACCATTAGATTCGGTCCCATGAGCTGAACAGTCGACGGATGGATTCACTTTGTAATCAGAAGGTTTTTGAATCAATTCGTGGTGGATTTATGGGTTTGTACCACTGACGAGTTGCGAACCAGGACGAAACATTATTCCCGTACTCTCTGGTTTTTTCATTGACTCTCGAACTCATGTCATTTTACGGTCAAACCAGAAATAGGATTATTCCACTATTAAAAACTTATTAACTGATGGTGAATAAGTTTAATTCCATTCGTGTTATTATACACCGATTGGTCCTCACAGAGTAACCAGTTTCACCAAAGTTAATGCCGAATAAATTCTGTCATTTATGTTTGCACTGTAGTCAGAAAACTAGGTGACTTGGTATCATGATCCACTAAAGCAGTCCTACATTAGATTAATTGTGAATCCGAATAGTTCAGTGATAACGTCCCGGGCTGCAGCAAGGTTTTACATGGGTTCAAATTCCCTATAGGAAGTCTGTTTAATAGAGATTACAGGTACGCTTTACTGACGAGTACCAGTGAGCACGAAACTCCCAGCAGAAGCATTGGAAATGGACCCAGAGACATTAGCGAACTTGATGACGCCACTGCTGGAGAAGGTGTGGAAGGAGGGCAAGATGCCTGCGGATTGGAAGAAAGTTTACTTATTCAAACTGCTAAGAAAGGAGGCTTAAGTCAATGCCAGAATTGACGCGGCATTATGCTCCTGTCTATCACAAGCAAAATACTAAGTTGCATCATCCTGTAGTGAGTCCAACACGCCCTTGATGATTGCAGTAGACTAGATAATGTGACAGACAGCTGCGGGCAATGAGAAGACAGGAGTAAAATGGACCCACACAAAAAACTTTGGACGATCTGGATTCCACCGATATGACATGTGTCTAATTTCCTACAAACTGGAAGATATGCAAGTGAAAAGCAACAAGTTGGTGGCAGAGGCATCAAAGATAAGAATTCAGGTGAACATTGAGAAAACAACAGACAACAATGAGCATAAATGGGAGTAATCTGAAAGAAACAACCCCATTTACCTACCTACCTGCCTACCTGCGATGGATTGTTTCAACCACAGGTGGGCGGAACTGATAAGAATATCAAAGAGCGAGGATCGGGAAAGCAAGGCAAGCAAGACAACGGCACTCAGCACTCAGCATGTGAAATAAGATCTGGATTTTCAACCTCAATTTGAAGTCAGTTCTACTCTACACGGATCAGAGACTTGGCGCCGCGCCACGCCATGTAACGAAGGCCACTTCGAACAACTCCGAACTACACACCTTCATCATCAGCTGTCTTCGCTCAATACTTCTCAAGATCAGATGGCCGGTTAAGAAGGATTAGCAATACGAAGCGATCTGTGGAGATGAACCAATCAACCCAGCAGGAACCAACCGTTCAAGAAACATGGAGGAAGAAATGAAGAGAAATGGATTGGTGGCGATACTCTGAGTGAACAAACCATCATCAAGTGAGTGACATCATATGCCTGACCGATGCTCGATCGGAACTTGGCCGAATGGGAAGCGGTGAGTCAGTTGGTCGTGAGTGTGAGAGTGAGATGGAAGAGCAGCTGATGCGAAGAGAAGATGAAAGCATATAAGTAGATGTGGAGCCAGGTGAGGAGGTTGGCAGAGAACCAACAGCAATGGAGACGTGTGTCTGAAGCCCTATGTTTCTCTAGAAATTAAAGGAAATAATAATAAAAAGCACGAAACTTAGTTTCAAATCCTCCTGATGATTATTTCCGATCATTTATTTGAAGTGTGATTGCTTAATAATTCGGAAATTTTTTAAATATTATTTTAAATTGATCACTGTCATTTTGTGTTTGAATTAAACGTCAAAGATAAATAATCGTGAAATGACTAATTAGTTATTCGTGTTAGTGTTAGTGTATTCTGATTTAAAGTAAGTCATGCCATTTGACCTGAATTTTCAGCGATTTAACTAACTATTCAGATCTTTTTTCAATAACCAGTAGTATTTCCTATACGTAAAGATAACTTGTAAGGGAAGAAGAATTAGTTCTAATGTGACCATTTGATTGATGTAACTCACACGCCACTTTTTGAGGGTAGAGGGATAATGGAATCTGCTGAGTTTCTCTGAAAGACAAAGCAGAGTGTACATTTTTTTCTGTGGTCATCATTCCTAACTCTTGCCCTCCCAAAGTGGGAAAGAATGGTTAGTCAACTTGGTAGTCTCCCTGCTACTGCACTCCCATCAGTCAGTAGTAAGATTTTATCACCACATGTCCACTGTGCTGTCGGAAAATTACGCGATGATTCTAACAGCAGCACAGTTTAACCACTTCTTATTCGAATATCCATCACAGCCAGATTAATTTGTCTGGTCATTGCGGTAATGAAAGCACAAACACCATCTCCAAATACTAGCCACCTTTTAGGAACATACAGACTGTGTTAACAAAGAAATTCCTTTCCTAAAAGCCATGCTTGCTGAAAACGTTTAGCTTTATCGATTTATTGATAATTGTTTTTTTAAATTGGTCAGTGAGATGTCCTCTACAATGCAACTTCAATTAACCTTCACTAACTGGAAGTTGTAATTTGGAAACTACTCGTGTACTACGGCGTACCCCAAATATTCATCAACCTTATTCAACAGCTGTACGACAACCGCACATGTCAAGTGATCCACAACGGAAAACTCAGCAAGGCGTTTGGAGTAAACACAGGAGTCAGACAAGGGTGCTTATTATCACAAATGATATTCCTAATTGTGGTGGACTGGATTATGCGTCAGGCAGTGGGAAACGAGAAGACAGGGATATCCTGGACCGACGTGAAGAACCTAGAAGACCTGGATTTCGCGCGTGGATGACTTATGTTTGATGTCACACAAAATCGAAGACTTACAAGCGAAAACCGATAAACTGGTCGAAGAAGCAGCAAAGACATCACTCCAGGTGAACATAGACAAGACAGAGGTTATGAAAATAACCAACCAACAACAACAACAACAGCAGCAACATCCACCGCCAATCACCATCGACGGGATGGATTTGAAAGAGGTTACTTCATTCACTTATCTAGGGAGCATTGTCTCAACTGCAGGAGGAACGGACGAGGATGTCAAATCGAGAATCGGGAATGCGAGAAACACATTCGTCAACCTGAAACCAATCTGGAAATCTTCGTCACTCAGCCTGCATCAACAACAAAATTCGGATTTTCAATACAAACGTCAAGTCAGTCAGTTCTTCTATACGTACGGATCAGAAACTTGGCGAGTCACAAAGAATATTTCCAACAGCCTGTTGCACACCTTTATCAACAACTGTCTTCGCTGGCTCTATACTACTGAAGATCAGATGGCCGGAAAGAATCACCAACAAGAAACTATGGCAACAAACAAAACAAGAACCAATCTCCCAACAAATATGCAGGAGAAAGTGGAGATCGATTGGACACTCACTGGCTGAGGAGGCCGTTGGGTGACATCGCGCGTCAGGCCATTGCTCGAGTGGAACCCGAAAGGGAAGCGGCGAGTGGGACGTCAGTGCAAGGGTGACATGGAGGAGATCGTGTGAAGAGGAGTTGAAACAGTATGGATTAACATAGATGGAGTTGAAAAGTTCAGCAGAAGACAGAAGCGAGTGGAGACGTGCAGTTGAAGCCCTATGTTCCACTAGGAACTCAAGGGAACAATAATAATAGTAACTGGAAGTTGTTCTCCACCTCTATAAAAGATAAGCTTCCCTGTCTGACAGCCTCCATAGCTATCTATTAGTTGATCTGCTCTTATAGAACAAGGTACACAGACAGTAGCCAGAGATGGCTTTCCATATGAATATGAGAACACACTCCAACATATTCGAGTGTTGGTTTGCAAGGATTTGACGAGTTTCAGGATTTCATCTTGAGCTGACACCAGAGAGAGAATCATTGAAAAACCCAGCCAGGAGTACTGGACAACCAGCGGTTTCGTCAGCCTAGTTTTGAACTCTTCAACAGTACGCACCTATCACAAAAGGTTCCAACACAGGACGCAATGGAGACGTGAGGCTGAAGCCCTTTGTTCCTCTAGGAACTAAAGATTGATATTCAGGCGTTGGTTTTCAGGGATTTCGTCATGATTTATTAGCACCACACTCCCTAACTACTACTTTCTTCTTGTTCACCACATAACAAGAATCTTATACACTTCTTTCCTCCTCTTATCACAGAAGTTCACCTCAGAGAAATGACAGAACACTCGGCAAAAGAACTCGACAAACATCAAAATATATAATTGAATATTTTATTTGTGTATATTAATTAATTCAACTAATTGATCTAGTGCTTCATATAAAGAAAATCATAAAAATTAGTAGTAGTCGTAATCGTAGTACTAGTAGCAGAAGCAGTTAGTACAATTAAAACAGACAAAAAAAACCCTTGAGCATTTAACATAAATATGTAAAATGAAAAAAAACACAAATGCGATCAGAAAAAAAAGACAGAAGGGATCAGCAACAACAGAAACATCGACAACAACAAGATCAACAACAGTGACTAAGTTGACTGAAAGCGACGACAGAAAATATGTGAAGATAAACGAAAAGGACAGTTACAGGAAACAAAAATTAAAAATCAAGTTCATTCGAATTTGATTGACGTTCATTTTATGATTTGAAATAGATCTGAAAAAGGATTTAAAAAAATATATGTGGGTTAACATTCATCCATGGATCATATTAAAGAGAAAATGAAAATAAAGAACCGATGCTTGATGGTATATACTACTGGTGATTTTTATGAGTAGTTCGGGAAATCACACATATCAATTAGTAGTGCTTGCTAGCTAGCCAGTTCTAAACATCAGAGAGGTGTGACCCTCATTTTCGAGGCCAAATTCATCAGCACTGTACTGTACTGATTTTTCAGTCGCACAAAAATAATGAATATGGTTGAATTTATAATACGGGCGAAATTCAAGAGCTTTGACTGGTTGGTTCAGGTGGTCAGCTTCTAAACTTTCAGATCAGTGATTGGCACTAAGATCTGCCTATGGAGATTTGGGTGACAAGATAGTAGCAACCACTGAGTGATATACCTTTAAATGATGAACTTAATATATGTATATATATATATATTTGTGCGTTGAAGTTTCTCTAGCAGTTTGATAGCTTTTGTAGTGTACGGTTGCTAGACTCACGCCCAGCCCTCCATCTTTACTTGGGACTTGAGACCGGCTAGAAAACTAGCGAGCTAGTTGATTAGGTGAGGTTGTCAAAGTTAGAATCGGAAAGGCAAGATACACCTTCATCGGCCTGGAAATTCTCTGCGCTCAATCACTCAGAGTAAACAACAAGATTCGGATTCTGGTCAACACAAATGTGAAGTCAGTCAGTCACTTCTTCTATACGGGTCAGAAACTTGTGTGGCGTGTCATGAAAAGCATTTGCAACAGGCCATTGCAGACTTTTACGTCTTCATCAGCCGTCTGGTCAGGAAGAATTAGCAAGAGGAAACTCTGGCTGGAAACAAACCAATCAACCAATAGCCACTTGCTCAATAAATATGTAGACGAAAATGGAGATGAATTGGTTGGGCGTAAGTTGAGGAGATCGTCGAATTACATCACATTACAATGCATGCCAGTGCTCAAATGGGAGGTGAATGGGAATTGACGAGTGGGTCGTCAGTGGGGGAATGACATAGAGGAGATCGTTGTAGCTAGAGGCGGAGATGAAATATCATGGTCAATGATAGACCCAGCTGAAGAGGATGGCAGAAGATAGGAGAAAGTGGAGATATGTTGTTGAAGCGGTATGTTCCACTCAGAACCCAAGGAAATAATAATATAATAACAATAAAAACGAACTTAATATTGTGTGTATTCATCTGTTCAGTTCGAAATAATTTCTTTAAGTATTATGTTAAACTAAATTATTTAGACTAGTATTACCCCCTTGAGTTCCGAGTGAAATATGGGGCCTCAACTGCAAATCCGTGCTTTATCCTGTTCTCTCTAGTCATATTTAGCTGACTGCACAAATGCCCATAAAGTCTCTTCATCTCCTCACACTGTCTCCTTCATATCACCATCTGAGACATCTTACACATCGTTTCCCATCCGGGTTCTACTCGAGCAATGACCTCACGCCCGATATCACACGGCGGTCTTTTCGGTATGTGACCAATCCGCCTCTATTTTCTTCAGAAATGAATTCATGATTGGTTAGTTCCCAGAGTTTCTTCTTGTTAAATTCTTCCAGGTCATTTGATCCTCAATATGGAACTTGCCACCAAAGATGGCAGCTATTGATAAAAGTCTGTAACATGCCATTGGAAATCCTTTTTGTAACACAATGGGTAAGTTTCTGACCACTATAGAAGAACTGACTGACTGACTTCACATTTGTGTTAAACAGAACCCGAATCTTGTTGTTTACTCTGAGTGATTGAGCACAGAGGATTTCCAAACTGGTTTCAGCTTGATGAAGGCTATCTTCCCTTCCGATTCTGGCTGGCTGGCTGGCTGGCTTTGACATCTTCATCCGTGCAATCCAACTGACTGTAGTTTAAATGATGCTTCCTGGCAAGATAAGTGAAGGAAATAACCTCTGTCAAATTTCTACCGTTGATGGTGAATGGTGCTGGTTGTTATTGTTGCTGTTGGTTGGTTGGTTATCTTCATCAACCCCGGTCTTCTCTATGTCCACGTTGAGTACTGTCTTTGTTGCCTCCTTTTCTGCCATCTTTTTGGTTTTCTCCTGTAGATCTTCAGGTTTGTGGGATGTTAGACACGAATTATCTGTGAAATCCAGATCTTGTAGAGTCTTCTTATCCGTTCGACGTATTCCTGTATTCTCGCTCCTCACAGTTTTCAAGTCATTTAGGCTATTATATATGTATTATATCATTATTGTTTCCTTTAGTTCCTAGAGGATTATAGGGCTTCAGCCGAACGTCATTATTGCGTTCGGTTCTCTGCTAACGTTTTCACCTGGCTCCACTTCTGCCCACATGCTTTTATCTCCTCTCCACATGACCTCCTCCAAGTCACCCTCCCATTGACGACCAACTCGCCGCTTCCCGTTCAGGTTCCACTCGAGCAATGGCCTGGAGTGTGATGTCACTTGATGGTTTGTTTTCTCAGAGTATGGCCACCAATCCGTCTTCATTTCTTCCTGCATATTTGTCGCACAGTCGGTTCCTGGTTCGTTCGCTTACAGAGATTTCTGTTGCTGATCTTTTCTGGCCGGTCATCTGATCTTGAGCGAAGTATTGGGCGAAGACAGCTGTTGATCAAGGTCTGTAGTTTGTTTGAGATGCTCTTTATGACGCGCTGGCCAAGTCTCTGATCCATAAAGTAACACTGACTTCACATTAGAGTTGAAAATTCGGATCTTATTTTTCATACTGAGTGCTGCTAACCTCCACATAGACTTGAGAGTAGTGGAAGCTTGTCTTGCTTTCCGGATTCCTGTTTTGATATTTTCATCAGTTCCGTCCGCCTGTAGTTGAAACGATACTTGCCAGGTAGGTAAAGGAAGTAGCTTCTTTCAGATTTCCCCTATTCATTTATAGTAGGTAGCTGGGAGTGAAATAAAGATCTGAAATACGGTGGTATTCGAACCACCTGAGCTTCAAGATCTCCCTTCTAATGAAACCATCGTCAACTCATGACCCCTATCCGGCTCCACACTGGCGATCAAATGACCATCCAAAACACATAAGTAACAAGGGACTCTAGCAAGCGGTGATTTATGCAAAAGAAAATGGAGATATTTTAGATATTGACTGTGGAAAATACTGAGTGATATCACCTAGGAAGGGAAGCCGATTTGGAAGCGACGGGTTGGGAGTGGGTCCAAAGATGCCATGTAGTAGTTGGTGTACAGAGGAAACGAAACCTTGCCAGCAGTTGTGGAGCCAGATAGTTGAAAGTGGAGGAGCAGAAGAGGGTGAAATAATCTACCTGGAACTCAAGGAATGAATGAATGGTAATATTGGTCAATCCAACTAATCATAATTTATCAGTAGTATATATTGTGTTAAATAAAAAAAGAATCCACTTACCAAATTAGAAAGAAAATAAAAACCTGACTTCGATGTATTGCTTATTCATGAAGACAATATAATAGCTTCATGATAATATTGCTTTTATTATTATTATTATTACTGTTATTGTTATCATCAATAATTATTGATTCGAGTAGAATTAAAGTTGAGTTTGAATACGTTGACGTTGATTGTCTAATTCTTTTTGAATAACTTCAGGTAGATCTTTACCAACTTGTTCATGTAAGTATTTAATTGTCTCTTCAACATCTTCTAAGAGATAATCTTTTGGCAAGGAGAAATTTTCATCCCAATCAGCTTTAATTCCATCGAAATCAATAGTTCCTGAAAGAGAAAAATGAAGTGATAATAGTAATACCGATCATTACAATTTATTGATTAGTACTATAGCATAATTTTATAGTGGATGAATAAACTGTAATCAACTACTGTCCCCATGAACGACTGGATTCGGCCAAGGATGGATACATTTGGGTCTTCATCTCGAAATTCTTCCATGTGGCCACACGTTCATCACAGACTCTGCCTGCTAGTTCTATTCACTTCCTTCACGCAAAGGAAGTGTTCCTCAAGAAAGTGACAGGGCGAATCCCATAGTCTGGTGTTTACAGCCGGACTGTTTGACATGTTGGTCTCCCTAGCTAACGAAGCTTGAAAATCCTAATTCCAAAACTATCTTGGTGTATATGGCTTTCAGAATCCGATTGAATCCAACCCATTCTGACCATCGGAAACCATGGAAACGTAGCTATTGATGCTGCTCCACAGCTTCGTGGGTCAGAATTCAAGTCAAGGGCTATGGGAGTGGTCTTTTAAGATAACCGCCAGCTTCAGTCTGGGCGTCCGAGCAGCAGTATTTATATAATTGAATTAGGAAGTACAGTAAGAACTCGCTCTCTGAATAGGATTCTTCCTACCATAAGATTAGATCATTTGACCACGCTTAAAGTTAGAGTGTTAAGTTTATATTGCTCAAAATCAACTAACTGGTCGTATTACTGGTCATTTCAAGTCTGGCCGAGAGGCGAAGATTCGAATCCATGTGAGGAAACCCCCAATGAATGATAAACCTCATGGGAGACTCCATGAATGCGTGATACCTGTAGAATATAATTATTTTAGTGTTGTAGACTAATGTGAGGCAAAAGTTAAGCTCAATGAGAAGAATATAGCAATATTAGCTTTGTTCTGAGTGTGTTGTCCTTACTGATCAGTACATTTCATTTGTTCAGCAGTGATTTCAGAAATGTTCTTCATATATGTCGTAGAACGACTTTCCTATGTAGTTTTAGAGGGTGACTTCGGGTTTGACTAGGAGTAGAGTTCATCTAGTTTCATCCGAAAAACAATTCTTTGCAATCAAAATCTTCTATTTTGCAATTAAATTTAATGATCAAGTATTGGTTTTTCTAGGGATTTTGTTTGATTGGATGGAGGATGGATAGGGTTGGTGGATTGGATGATGGTTCTCTAACTGATGTCAGCTCATGATGAAATCCTCCATCCAATCAAATGTTATGATGTTGAAGTCATAGCATTCATTAGCAAAGTTTAGAGGATCAGAAATACATTGATTTCACCTTAGAATTTCAGTCGTTCTATTTGGAACTGTTCATCCAGATGAGCCCACATTCCATTGTAAGTGATAATGATCCCACTGAGATTCAAACCGAATACACATTGTTTCATAAACGTCAGATAGGAGGAAATTCGCACCCTGGATTACACAGTGCCAGTCACCACTAACCTAAATAACCTCTAACTAATCGTTAGATACCGTCTAAGAGTCCGTAGTAGAAGCCGACAGGTCAACAGAGACCCAGTACTTTGGTTCAATACTGCCAATTCATACTAACCTTGTCACCTTTTATCGCGTTAGAATGAAGTTATTTGCAAACAACACAACTTTACTCATTAATAGAAGTAGTAGTGGGTGTGAGTTCTTTCAAACAAACTGATTTTTAACTGGATTTTGAGAAAATTGAATCAGTTTTTGATTTACTACTTATCGGTCAGTAACTGACTGATGAGATATTGCATGGTGTTGAGTTCATGATCCGATAATAACACAAAAAATCACTGGGATGCACTTACGTCTGGATAACAAGTCTCGGACAGGACAAAATACCTAGCCAGTATCAAGGATACGCTCTTCATCTCACCCAAGGCTCATCAGCTGGATGTGCCACCTCTCAGGTGAGTAATTATGTCCTCAGTGAGATTCAGAGCCAAAGCCCATAGCTCCATGAAGGAGGGTGTCACAAGATTACTGGGATTATTAACTCGAAGTTATTTGTTTGAACCGGCAGATAGGGAATTTGAGTCTCAGGGGGAACAACCATCAATCTCCAGAGATTCGCATACATCTAACTGATGAGTTGTAAATAGGGCGAAAGTTGTGACCCTGTCTCTATTGTGCTGTTCATTAGATGAAATCTTGTCGTTTACATGACACACTTTACACTTCACTCCCTAGATTCTCTACTGCCTTCATCTTATTGTAAGTGAAAAAGAACTAAAGAATCACTGAAGATCCAATATTTCAAACATATCATTGTTCTGCAACTGCTAACGCTTGCACTCCTTTTAATGTAATTGCCAAATTGTGCCTTATTGTTGTCTTTATTTATTAATTTTCTCTTGAGTCCTGGGTGGAACGTAGGGCTTCAACAACACATCTCCGCCTTCTTCTATTTTCGGCTGTCCTTTTCAGCTGGTTGGCTCCACGACTGATCATGATCCCTTAATATTCCCCTCCTACTCATACGATCTCCTTCATGTCACCCTCCCACAGATGACTCACCTGTCGCTTCTCATTCACCTCCCAGTCGAGTGATGGCCTGCAATGAGCGTGATGTTATTCGACGGCCTCCCCAACTTGTGCCCAATCTCTTTTTACATTATCTACAAATCTGTTAAGCAGTCGGCTGTTGGTTAGTTTGTACCCAGCCAGAGTTTCTTCTTGCTAATTCTTTGTTGCCTGCCAGCTGGCGATTCGAACTTCAGTATGGAGAGAGCCAGTAAAGTGGGCAGCTGTTGATAAAATTTTGCATTGGCCTGTTGGAAACGCTTTTCGTGACGCAAACGCAGTGCAAGTTTCTGACCCGTATAGAAGAACTGACTGACTTCTGTATGATGAGGTGGAGTGGAGAAGATTTCCGAACTGTTTTAAAGGCTGGTGAAGTCTTCTCTTGCCCTTCCGATTCTGGCTGGCTGGCTGGCTTTGAAATCTTCATCCGTGCAGTCCAACTGCCTGTCGTTGAAACCATGCTTCCTAGCCGGATGAGTGAAGAAAATAACCTCTGTCAAATTTCTCCTATTGATGCAGGTTCACCACTCCTGTCTTTTCTATGTTCACGCTGACTACTGTCGGTGTTGCCTGTTTTTTCAGCCAGTTTGTTACTTTTAGCCTGCCAATCTTTGAGTTTGTGTGAAATTAAAAAACTATGCCTTACTGAATGAAGGTTTATTTCACTTAATTGGAATCGTCTCTCTGATGCAAAAAGAAAGACGTGTCTCTTCTCATGAAGAATTTCAACCCCATTATAAAAAATGTTGCTTAAAATGAACAATCTTTTTTTTGGAAAGTTCACCATTCCTGCTGTCGATTGACAGGTAGAAAACCAAATTAAAACCTATAAGATACTATTTGCCTACAGTAGAATGGAATGCTGTAGATCAGTGGATAATAATCGTACGATACCTACAGTTAGTTAATACTGAGATGAAATTCTGCATATTTCTTCCTGTGCTATATCAATTTTCAATTGACTTACTTAAATAAGCTTTATGAAGAAGTTACTTTGCTTAAAAGAATGCTGTAATCATATCAGATGAAACTTTTGGCAATTGTAGAGAGATGTTTATTTTATCGACTGTTTTTGCACATATGAAATAACTATTAGGTGATTAGAGATAATCGGCAGGAAGCCTTGCTTGACCTAGGTTTTTCGACTATTGACACTGACCAGTCAATCAGTCAGTCAGTCAGCAAGGCATATCTGTAATCCTGAAGGAACTCATGTCCATTGTGAGATTTGAATCCGCGTCAGTCTGTACTGCAGTCAAAGATGACGCTACCACTGAGCTATTCGGGTTCACCACGGACCTCTTGTAGGACTGTGTTAGCTGCTTTGATTGAACACTTGATAGTAACTAGTGCTATGCGCCTAGCTCTTCTTTTGGTGCAGACATGAGTTCCTTCAAGATCACAGATACGCCTTGTCGACAGGTCCTAACAAGCATGCAACCAAGGACCAAGGCTTCCTGTCTGTTGCCTCATACCAACTAACAACAACACTTCACAGTGTAAGATGATGTTGCAGGATTGGACTACACCGACCACTAGATTAGAAATAGGAAGTGAAGTGGTAGAGCATGTTGACCGCTTCACTTACTTGGGAAGTACCATCAGCCAGTGCAAACGGGTTGATCTCTGACGAAATCTCAGCACGAATACAGAGGGCTAGTTTTGTATATGCCAGTTTACGTCGTCTCTGGAATAGTAGACGTGATATCCGGCTGACTATCGACCAAAGGGCGGGTGTACCGCTCAACAGTCCGCTCCGTCCTCCTTTATGGCTGTGAGACCTGGTCATTGAGAGTGGAAGACATGAAAAGACTAGCTGTGTTCAATCATAGGTGTCTGCGTTCTATCTCCCGTGTCAGGTGGTATAATAAGGTGAGCAATATTGAGGTTAGGCCTCAGTCGAGTGCTAGGTAAGGAGGGAAAATCAATCGACGAAACTGTGAAATTACATCGACTGAGATGGTTAGGACATGTATTACGTATGCCTAGTCATCGCCTTCCTCGACGGGCAATGTTGGCTGACATAGGGTCAGGCTGGAAAAGAGCTAGCGGCAATTAAACCAAAACATGGCACCAGTCAATGAAATCTACAACAGTTAGTTTAAGCTGGCCACATAGGAAGGTGTAGACTTCCTGGTTGGGGTCCTCGGGACGGTAAAAACCAATGGTTGGAATCAATTGGTGACATGGCTCAAACTCATCGTTCTCAGTGGCTGGCGGAAATGCAACCACTCCTTGTGACTTATGATTTCCAATTAAACTGTTTTGTTCTTCGTTATTACTATTCCTTTGTCTCACACCTTTGTTTACTGTCTCTATTATGCATTTCTCCTACTTTCTTCTCGTGCTTTGTATGCTACATGGAGGGAGTGTGGCGACTTGAACTGGCGCACATATGTGCAAAGTTCTATGTCGAAAACACACACACACTTCACAATGCACTGTGACGATGAGTCTCCAAGGTTGGTGGTCATATTGTAAAGTCGACTGATAGAGTTCACTGTCTGCATCAAATGAAGGACTAAATCCATGGCATTATTTCCTATCTATTGTCCAATCAAAGATGGAACATCTGATGTGGCGTTTGTTATACTATGCGCGGAAACACCTTGCGACTAGTTTTATCCTCATTTCATAGAAGAATATGTTATGTCTTCATGCAACATTTACACATTTCGCCCATAGGGAATCGTGATTCTCTACTGAAGAAGGACGGATGTCAGAAATATACATAAACGCTGATCTCTTAATTTGGTGTGCTTCCACAGATTAGTCATGTAACCTACTTTCTTCGTCTAAGTTGAATATAGACAACCACTCCATAACTAAGAGAATCATTTCCGGTTGTCAGTACATCTGAACTCTACCAACCAAGATACAAAATAACAATCCACCCTAGTGTAATGGAAGAGTCAACATTGTGATTCATTGTTAGTCGGCTGGAAGCTTCCAAAATTCATCATTAAATTGCAGTCGTGCAGTATCACGATAGACAGCATTTCCAGTGTGTTTTCTAAATCATGGCTACACTGAGCGCTAAGATCAATCATATTGTGCAAACCAAATGACCCAATTACAAAGATTTGTAGTGATTAGTAGTCTATCAGTTGTAACACAACATCAACAGCAATTAATCCACATCTGATGATGGGATGCAATCGGTAGAAATCTAGGGACCCAGGTTCCATCTTCACTAACAAGACTACACAACCTAACAATAATTGCAAGGTAGAATTTGTTACGTAAAGACATCCATCAGTCAGAAAACCATCGATAGCTGTTTCATCCTAGTTCAAAACTCTTCAGCAGTGCGCATGTATGACTGTAACAAGGATCTAACTGAGGAACTTTGGGTTATGAGACAAACTAGCTGACCTTTCAACTGCCACGTCATGATGTAACGCCACAGTCTAGTTAAACCATTCTCTAGTGCTGGTTTGCAGAGATTTGACTGGTTACAGGATTTCATCACGGGTTGACATCGATGAAAGAACCATTGAAGAACTGTTTCGTTCTATTTTGGAACTCTTCATCGGTACGCGTCCACCCCATTGGGATTCGAACCCAAAACCTCCCGGTCACAATGCTAGCGACCTCATAGACCGTTAACCCACTACGACCACTTTCTAATAAGGAAAAGCAAAAAACACACAACTAACCCTTTTTAGGCAAAATGCCGATAGGTGATGGTACACCGATATCTTCACCATTTACACGTTTCATTATCCAATCAATGACACGAATATTTTGACCGAAACCAGGCCATACAAATTTGCCTTGTTTATTTAATCGGAACCAATTCACATGGAATATCAGTGGTAATTTATGCGATGGTTTATCCATACTTAACCAATGATCTAGATAATGTCCAAAATTATAACCAACAAAAGGACGCATAGCCATTGGATCGTGCATTACTTGTTTGCCTGTAATTGAAAAGAATTTATAAAAGGCGATAACGATAAATTAAAAAATTAAAAAAATTGAATAACTAATTAAGAAGCATTAATTCCAACCGATTCAACAAGGAACATCAACGTGCATTCGGTGCGTCGGTGGCACAGCGGTTAGGATTCTCGCTGACCGTGCACATGGTCCAAGGTTCGCTATCCGGCCACTGGACGCACTCGTTTACCTCGCTAAGCCAGTAATAGAACTGGCAAAGAGGAAAGGTTGGGCATGAGGCTGGCTAGCAGACCCATCCTGTAAAAATAAACACCACTGCTACAGAAACTTCAAGCCTCTAGATTAAAGCCCTATGTTCCACTGGGAACGTGAAGGAATAAAAAAAATTCCAACCGAGCTGTCTACTAGCTGACATTACAACCTGGATCTCTTAGCTCGAAAATCCAAAGCTATCCCAGATATTCTAATCATCAACTGACATGAATTCTCGAAACAACAGAAACTAAGGAGCATGGAGCAGCTGACTATTTCGCCCTTGTAACAGCAGAAGATAGGAGAATTGGGAATGGACTATCTTTATCAAGGAGAACGTATCATATTTACACATTTTTAACCACATTAAAAGTCGGCTAGTTTTGAGGACAATAAACTGTTCTGATTGGTTGGCGAATGGCCCAAAAATTGTCCAATGAGATTATTTCCTGACCACAATGTAAACCAGATCCAGATATGAGGAAGACACATTTTCAACTCCTTATAAATCTTGTCCGTAGCACACGCAGCACAATAGGACCCTACCTGAGATAAAAAACCAAGGACTTTAGGTTACGACACCAGCTTGTTGAACATATATAGCTACTAAATATGCAATCCAGTTAAGTGTGGATTGCAAATTCTATTGAGATTCAAAGATGTCCTCCTTACAACTAATATAATAGGCACTAAAGGCCACAAGTTCTCAGTGGAACTTAAGTACAACCACCTCGAAGCCACTAATGAGCGGAAGATTGATAGTGATATTTGGGGTTTTCTAGGAATGTCGATTAATTTGATTTTAGATCTCCTAACGAACAAGATCAATGAAAACCAAACATCACTATTGCTCTTCTCTTCGTCAGAAACACCTGTTCAGTTATCTTTGGTTTTCAATGCCAGTTCGTCAAGATATCTACACTGAAACTTATGAATTAGACATTTTTATACTAAGAAAAACATGTACTGTACCTTTCATCCTCTTATTTCTTCAAATAAATATTTTATATCAAAAAAGGTTGGTTTAATTTTCAAGTTTTGCTAATTAATATGGATTATTTTTGAAAAAACTACACATACTACTAAATTTGCAGTAAGAATTCTCTAAGATTAACTCTTTATTATAACACTGTTAATTTATATAAAAACCAAAGGCACACGTTATCAAAGATAGGACTTCAGGTGAACATAGAGAAAACAGAGGTGATGAAGATTCCTGGACAAGAACAATAACAACAACAGACAACGATCAGCATAAATGGGAGAAACCTGAAAGAAGCAACCTCCTTTACCTACCTACCTACCTAGGAAGCGTCGTTTCAACTACAGACGAAACTGACGAGGATATCAAAGGAAGGATCGGGAAAGCAAGGCAAGTTTCCATTACTCTCAAGTCTTTTTGGAGGTTAACAGCACTCTGCATCAAAAATAAGATCCGAACTTTCAACTCCAATGTGAAATAAGTGTTACTTTATGGATCAGAGACTTGCACTGCGCGTCATAAAGAGCATCTCAAGCAAACTACAGACCTTCATTAACAGTTGTCTTCACTCAATACTCAAGATCAGATGGCTGGCCAGAAAAGATCAGCAACAGAGAGGGATATCTGGCAATGAGTGAACAAACCCAGCAGAAACCGATTGTGAAACAAATAGGTAGGGAGAAATGGAGATGGATTGGCTGGCCATACTCTGAGGAAACAAACCATCAAGTGACATCACTAGACAAACCATTGCTAGAGTGGAACCCGAAAGGGAAGCGGCGAGTTGGTTGTCAGTGCAAGGGTGACCTGGAGGAGGTCATGTGAAATCATGTGGGCAGACTTGGAGCCAGGTGAAGACTGTAGCAGAGAACGGAACGCAATGGAGACGCACGGCTGAAGCCCTATGTTCCTCTAGGAATTAAAGGAAACAATAATAATATGATACACTTTATCAGGTGTTGATACCAGTTAGACAATTATCGAAAATAAGGAATATAATAGATAATTGTTTCGTCCAAGATCGTGACTCCTCAATAATAACTTCACGATAAGTCGAAATCCACCTAAAAGGTATTCAAATCCCTCACATTATGAGTATTTCAGTACTATAAAAACTGCCCCCAAGTCGCCAATTGGTTGTAGTGGTAGTCAAATGCATCTATCACACTTCGTCAAATGGCACCGCGAACAGCCGAAAGCACACTTCTCAATGTCATGGATCATACCTGATCGGTAGTAACTTTGACTCATAAGGTCGCATTGTTAGCGAAATACCTGTATGGGTTAGTTGGTGGCATTCTTGGACTAATTGATAAAGAAATGTCATTCAGATAGGCAGGCATATCTTTTACATTCATGAGGTCAGTAACTTTATCATTAAGAAATTTCAGGATTGTGGAGATGTATAAAGCTGGTCTTTGAAAAGGCCTTCAACAGCGTTGACTGTGAAGTAATTTGGAAACTAATTCAGCATCATACAGTCCAGTGCCCATATCTTTATCATTCTCACTCCACAGTTATTTAATAATGCCACATGTCAGGTGATCCACAGTGAATAACTCAACAAAGTCTTTGAAGTGAAAACAGGAGTAAGACAAGTCTGCCTGTCTACTATCACCAATGGCGGACAGCAAACTGTAGGGAGTGAGAAGACGGGAATACATTGGACTGATAACAGGACACTAGATGATCTGGATTTCTTAGATGATTTGTGTCTTCTAATGTCTTGCAGGCGAAAACCAAAAAGTTCTCAGAGGAAGTGGGCAGCGAAGACAGGAGTTTGAGCGAACTTACAGAATACGGAGGTGATTAAAATAACCAAACAGTCGTAATGAGTACCAATCTCTGTCAATGGAAGACATCCTTCACTTATCTAGGAAGCTTCATTTCAACTACAAACACTCCGGAATCAGAAAGCCAAGACATGCCTTCATCCACACTCTGGAATCAATTTGGAAATCTTCTGCACTCCTCAGCACAAACAATCAAAGTGAATAGTACTTTGAAGTAGAAAAAACTAACCTTTAAATTCAGCAGCTGCAGTTGCTTCAGATTTCAGCGCAGCACCCAACATAACACCATGTTTCCAATCAAATGATTGTAAGACCAGTGGGATACCTTCAGGTCTCCGACCACCGAATATAATCGCTGAAATCGGTACGCCCTTGGGATCTTCCCATTTAGGATGAATAATTGGACATTGTTTTGCTGGACAACAAAATCTTGAATTCGGGTGGGCTTTAGGATCATGACTTTTATCTGACAATTTCACGTGGTCACCAAGCCATGTAATAATCTCAGTATCTGGAGTATAATCATCTTCAAGACCTTCCCAAAACACATGGCCGTCTTTTGTTTGTGCAATATTCGTGAAAACGGTGTTCTTCATACAAGTGGCCAATGCATTTGGATTTGTTTTGGCATTTGTTCCTGGTGCAACACCGAAGAAACCAGCCTCTGGATTGATGGCGCGTAGAACACCCTGGAAAAAAAACACAAAAGAAATACATCAGCTTAACGATAGAAAGCGTCTCTGAAAACTAAAGTTTGAACATGATCCCTTTTAAAAGTGAAGTTAGGTTGGTAGAATGAATAATCAATCATGCTTGGGCTGTTCAGTGGTAGACATGCTGCCAATCAGGAAGTCCCATTTTGATTCCCAATCAACCCACGTTTAAGCCTAAGAACCACGAAAAGTACAGACAATCAGAGAAGAAACAATCCGGGAAACTTAAGCTATATAGGGTGATGAGGACTGTTATAACTGACTCTCTTGTATGCTACTGATAAGGATTTGTAAGTACTATATAGTGTGACATCTTTAGTAAGAGTTATAAACAGATAGCTGATTGATGTGTTTTCAAACAGAAGGAATAAATGAAACTGTTTACGAGTATAATAAGTGCTGGACGAAAAGGAGGGAAGAAAGGAAGGAAGAAGTTCGTGAGATGCAAACAGTAGAAAGCAGACCACGAATAGTTTATATACCTTGGATGTCACATATAAGTAATCAATCCATATCTCTTTGTATGGAAAAGTTGGGGTGTAGCTATGTTGCCATCAGGAGCGAATCAAAATGACGACGCCTTTAATCATTGAAAGACTGTGTCAAACTGTTATAATCTAACATAACAATATTATTATTGTTCCCTTGGGTTCCTAGTGGAACATAGGGCTTCAACTACACGTCTCCACTTGCTTCTGTCATCTGCTGTACTTTTCACCTGCATTCATGTTAGTCCATACTGTTTCAGCTCCTCTTCACACGATCTCTTCCATGTCACCCTTGCACTGACATCCCACTCGCCGCTTCCCTTTCGGGTTCCACTGGAGCTATGGCCTGACGCGCAATGTCACCCAACGGCCTCCTCAGCGAGTGTCCGATCCATCTCCACTTTCTCCTGAATATTTGTTGAGCAATTGGTTCTTGTTTTGTTCGTTTCCATAGTTTCTTGTTGGTGATTCTTTCTGGCGGCCATCTGATCTTCAGTATAGAGGGAAGAAGACAGTTGTTGATAAAGGTCTGCAACAGGCTGTTGGAAATATTCTTTGTGACCCGCCAAGTTTCTGATCCGTATAGAAGAACTGACTGACTTGACGTTTGTATTGAAAATCCAAATCATTTTGTTGTTGATGCAGGCTGAGTGACGAAGATTTCCAGATTGGTTTCAGGTTGATGAATGTGTTTCTCGCCTTCCCGATTCTCGATTTGACACCCTCGTCGGTTCCTCCTGTAGTTGAGACAATGCTCCCTAGATAAGTGAATGAAGAAACTTCTTTCAAATCCCTCCGGTTGATGGTGATACCATACCATCAGTAGAGTCTTTTGATTCCTATAAAGAACTTTCTTGATACTCCTTTTCACTAGATAAAATCATTAGGCTTTTAGACTGGCGATATATAGCGCAACTGTTAGCTAGCGTCCTTACACCCAACTTGATGGATCCTGATAGTCACGAGGTTTTGCTAGAACTTTAGGCAAATTCACCATGTAATCAGTAGTTAGTGACCAGTAGATTAATTTTCAAGTGTTGGTTTTCAGGAATCTGAAGCACTGGAGGGCTGTTTCGTCCTTTCTTAGGGCTCTTCAGCGCTATCCATTTATGACCCCACTAGTGACGGAACTTAGAACCTTGAGGTTAGCTGACCATTCAGCCAGTGAGACAAAGGCTAATAGTTCAGGAAATCTAACTTCTGCCAGTTTGAAGAAAATACAAGGACAATTCAGAGAAGAAAATTTCCTTTATCAACAAAATCATCTTCACAGGCTGTACAATCGTATTTGTAGATACTAAAAAACGTCTAGGAATCCATTATTGAGTAATAAGGGTGACATAATTGATGTAATTACTCAGAAGTGACTTCAAAAGTAAAATTGTGCAATACTCAGCGGTACAAAGGTAGAAAGCGTTACTGAATCAGTGCCAATGATACAGTTGATGGTGAACTTGGGAGACTCAGACAAGTCCTCAAGTAAAATGGATATCCTTCAAAATTTATCGAGAACGCATGACAGTAAGGTGAAAACCCGAAAGAACCCAAACGGTGCCAAAGAATGTGTTGAAAGTGATACCATTGCTGACATTTTGAAGAACAACTTATCCAGACCATTGAGAAAAGCCTTCTTTGTGGCTGAACCACAGATCAAATTCTACAGCCGACAAATGATCAAAGGATGTGTGGAGGATAAACTGTCACTTTGGGCCACTTCTTTTTTTCCATTCACGTTCCCTAGTGGAACATAGGGCTTCAAGCTCGTGGCTTAAAGTTTCTGTAGCAAGGTTTATTTAACAGGATGGGGTTACTAGCCTCATGCCCAACCTTGTTTCTTCACCAGCATTATTTCTGGCTTAGCGAGGTGAAGGAGTGCGTCAGCCGGTGATCGAACCCCGGACCATGTGCATGGTCGGCGAGCGTCCTAACCGCTATGCCACCAAAGCACTTGGATCACTTCAATGTGTGTCTATAAATTCACTTGCTCCTTCGGAGCTAGTTAAGTTGGTCACAAAAACTACACACTTTCCAAACATATCTCTGAACATTATCGGGCATGGTTAACAAAAAGACAATGCAAGACAATTACTAGCTCAATTCTCGAACACTTGATGAACTCAAGCCACGCAGCTCCATCAGAGTTACCTTTCAAGGTCATCCACAAGGTGAGGACAAATGGTACAAAGGATGTCAGGTTTCAGCATCCATGTATGGCGGAGGCGCTGGCAATTCCTCAATACAACCCCGAACTCTGTGCCTTTGAGTATTACATAATTCTTCCGAGTAATTATATCAATTATGTCACTCCCCACATATTACTCAATAATTGGCTACTATACATTTTCGGCAAATGTAAATACGACTGCACAGTCAGTCTCTGAAGATGACTTCGTCGATAAAGGAAATTTTCCCCTTTGAATTATCTATGTATTTTCTTCATGACTCAATGTGTATTTCCGGTGATTCTACCAATTTGCAATAAATAGCACAGCTGTCAGCCAGACTCAACTTTAAGACTAACAGAGTAATGCTTTCTGGTGAGGAAATATTAAGATATATCGGTTTGTGTTCCAAAAGTCGTCAGAAAGTGGAGATTTCACTTTATTAATCATCGTGCATGCCTTATATATGTTTAGTTCTCTTAGAACTATTATTCTCTAGCTCCTTTTATCCTGCATTTATGAAAACAAATCTTCGTATCATAGATATTCCAGTATTCCGCACTGATTACCCCATCTCCATGACAGTAGATTCGTGCTGTTTTTCCTACAAACTGAGGTGTGTAGATATCCACTTCAGTATTTTTACGTATCCGCAACCAAACCAACCAGCTCAGAGAACACTATTAATTGCAAATCAGGTCTCCTTTCCAACAAAACATCCCGAAAATAAAACTAAAATGAAATCTGAAGGTAACCAATATAGAATGGTCAGTACATGAATTTTCAGAGTTGGATCCCTTTGAGAAGAAGACGAAGAAGAAGAGACCTGATTCTCTGCTTATCTTCAAAAGAACAAGAGAGATTTCAATAGGGAATAAGCCTGTTGCCTCTTGATACCTGCTTAGTCTTATCATCAATACATGGAATTCTACTCCAACCAAAGTTATCCTAAGGTAGCCTAATGAAATCCCTTCTTTTTTTTAAAAAAATGCTTAAAACAATTAATTAAATTGCTGCTTACATGTTCATCGAAACGCATCCAAGCGATATCATCACCAACACATTGCACCTTCCAGCCAGGTAATGATGGTTCAAGCATAGCCATATTTGTTTTGCCACAGGCGCTGGGAAAAGCAGCAGCGATGAACTTCTCCTCACCTTTTGGATTAGTAACAGACATAATTAACATGTGTTCAGCCAGCCAGCCTTCATCATGTGCAATACAACCAGCAATACGTAGAGCAAAGCACTTTTTACCCAGGAGAGAATTCCCGCCATATCCACTACCATAAGACATGATAAGACGTTCTTTTGGTACATGTGAGATAAGCGTTTTCTCTGGATTACACGGCCAATTGTTGACAATTTTATCTGTAAGCGTATAAGGAAGGCATATAAATTTTATATCTATATATATACACTTCAAAAATTAGTGCTGAATAATTAACAAAAATGTTTTTAAAACAATTGTGATGAGATTTCGTGTTTAATGGCGATGATTATCTGGCTGATGTTAGTTAGAAAAACTGTTAAATCACCCAATTATTATTAAATTATTGTTATTATTCACTTGGGTTCCTTCCTAATGGAACACAGGGTTTCAAAAGCACTTAACAGTTTCATTTTGTTCTCTGCCATGATCTCATCTGTATCACGCAGCGACACATGCCCAACTCATCATTTCTCATTCGGGTTCCACCCTAGGGCCTGGCTCATGATGTCACTAAACCCTTCCTCAGTCATTATCCTAGCTATCTCCATTTCCTTCAGCAAATTTATTGAATGATAGGTTCATGGTTGATTGGTTCTCCAAGTTCCTTGTTGCTAATGTTTTGCGACTAAGTTGCGTTGGTAGCGCAGCGGTAAGATGTTTTCCAACCACTCATGTAGTCTGTGGTTCGATCCCCGGCCACTGATGCAGTCCCTTGCCTCGCTAAACCAGTAATAAGACTCGTAAAGAGGGAAGGTTAGGCATGAGGCTGGCTAGCAAACCTCATCCAGTAAAAATAACCATCACTGCTACGAAACTTCAAGCCTCTACCTTGAAGCTCTATATTCCACTTGGAGCGCACAGGAATAAATAAATAATATAATAATAAATAATAACAATTTAACCGTTACTTAGTGACAAAACATATTTCGAAAGGAAGGGTTTATAAAACTTTTTGAACAGAAAATTTTCAGATTTGATATCAAATAAGTTGGTAGTGAGAACAGATACCTTTAGATCACAGCAGATAATTATTTCAATATGTCGGAGTATTGGTAAATGAGAGTTTAACTAGTTACCTACCTACTTGTTAAATGGTAGTCCTGAAATGTGACCATACGTGGGATCGTCAGAAGTCTCAAGTTCGAAATGGATTTATGCTTCCAATATTGAATAGTTTCGTTTCACATAACACAACACAGCGACACATTACTAACAACTGGGTCACTTTTCGAACATAAATTAGTGCCCATAAGTGATATGTTTATGTTCCGAAGCATAATTTTTCAGTAAATTACGAACACCTCCCTAGCCAAATTATTTTTCCCACAAACTAATAGACAACTAGAGACAGTACAGTTTTATTTGTGATCATCCTAGTTAATTATTTGAGTCTTTTCAGTATAACTAATCGTATGAACCTCATACAAAAGGCTCTTTTTCTGACTTTATCCCCAATTTATCGGTTGGATAGATAAATTTAGATTATACAACATTTTATCCCCGGTGATGTGATAATGCCACGATAAAAGCTTCTTTTAGAATTTTCAAATAACTTAAAGAGGATTATGAGAAAACATTACAGTGCCCTTTGCATCACAATTACAGAAAATAGTAACTTTGATTCTTTTTTAAGCTTTAATTTGTACAGTATTTGAAATAAAAAGTGGTAAATATATGCATAACATTCACTTACGGGTAGATGATGCGGGACATCCAACACTGTGTACACATCGGACAAATTCTTTGCTAGACTCGATAACTTTCCATACTTCTGGACACATACGTGTCATAATAGTCATACACAGAACAACATATATACTATCAGTTATCTCAATACCAACTTTACTCAATGGTGAACCAACTGGACCCATACTAAATGGTATTACATACATTACTTGACCTTCCATACAGCCTGGATAACGTTCTTTAATTTCTACATTTAAATTTTCTGGTGATATCCATTGGCCAAGAACACCTTTAACACCTGGTGCAACATCAGGTACTGTATCTTTTTGATGTTCTGAACAAATCCATGTTTTAGATTCAACACGAGCAACATCTTTAGGATCTGTACATGTGATAAAATTATTTTCGTACGGAGGTAATCTATGCATTGAACCATTCTTTAGCAGTTTTTCAATTAGCTCATTTTTTTGTTTTTCACTTCCATCACATATGTACACGCTTGTTGGTTTGCAAATTCCAACCTAGTTGTTTTGTTTTGAAAAGACAAAAGAAAAAAGAGTCTCAAGAAAATTTCTTATGAAATATACAAAAATAAATATTCAATTATATTTTCTAAACATTCAAGGCACTAGGTTCATCTCACAACACTGCTTTATCAAAAAAAGTCTTTTTCATTGTATGCTTCTAATATTTAAACTGTTACGTTAGTGTCTCCTGATTACAAATAGTTTCTACGATTCAACCATTAGTTTGTAATCACTAAGCTCAGCTTCCTACAATATCAGGGTTTAAACAGTTTTAACATTGACGTAAATTTGCTTATCGAACTAACTTTACTCAACGGACTACCCCTCATTCTCTTTGCATCTTAAAATATATCAGCTGGAAATTTAGAAAGTGAGTAAAGTATTATGTACAAGACTTTGAAAATAATTTTAACATTTATGCAGTCTATGGCGTTTCCGTTCCTTGAAATATAAAATGTGATACATTTAATGAATAAAACAACCCACATCATTCATTTGGAATGGTATGTTTTTGTGAACGGACACTAAATTTACTGCCTTTGTCATTTTTAGTTAAGATTCCGCATATTTTTAGTATAGTCTGCTTTTGTAATTATGATTTCAGATTTATACAGATGGTTTGATTTGCATATGCTAATATGTCTACTATATTTTAGATAGTGACGTTGTCACTACTAACATCAACATTTTAAGCCAAACCAAAAAATCCTCAATATGAAATAATCAGAGGGACGAATTTCCAATAACTTATAGGATTATTTGGTAAGAACAAATAAATAAAAACGCACTATGTGAAAAACTTTTGTGTGATCAAGATAACTTACCCATTTAGCTACAAAGCGTTGGGCATTCTTTGGCATGTCTTCAAACTTCCCTTCAGTAACTGGTACTGAGCCAAGACTTGGAGTTTCATTACCTTCGACCCACATTTTGTGAAGTTTTACTGAAAAGAAAAGATTAAGGATGAAAAAATCTATGAGCAATTTTCGTTAGTCTTCAGATAGTCTAGGATATATTTCATTACCTACAAGGGACCTAGTCACCAGGTAATGAAGATGTAACTAATAAATTAGGAAAGTGCTGAAAGTTTCTGAAGTGTGGTAAACAGTTTTATTATCAGGCACTTTCCTACACGAATAAGCTTGTGTAATAAAACTATTACTTACGGAATGATATATATATATATATTGTAGGGGTGTCCAATAAATTCTTGGATAAAATCATATGAAGATGATTCGAATTCGTTAGCCTTTACCTTTAGGGGCTGCAACACAGTACCGTTGACAGGTAACTTTTAAAGAAACAAGGATGTGGTTTTTGTATTGTGAAGTGTTTACACATTCCTGTAATTTCTGACTACCTAATCTGCCGAAAAATATCCCCTAAAGTTTTTGAATCTAGCATTCTAACCCAATTAATTGGCCAGTGGTAGGGGCAGATTGACCATCGGTGCACCTGTTCGTTTAATATACTTTTACAATTAAAACCATTCGAAATATATATGATTTGCACGTATGTTCCAGTAATATTGTTACAAAAGGATTTTGAACAGCGTTTCTAGCAGTCATTAGAGATCATTCTTTAGGAAATGTTATCAATCATTCTTACATAAATTATGCATACTGACACCCAAAAACAAATTTCATGAAACTATTTTGTTTGAGTTCAGTTTCATATGCAAATTCAATACGATTCTAGATACTTCTTTATAAAAAACACAAAAGTGTACAAAAATAAACAAAATAAGTCGTGATCAGCAGCTTACGTCTTGTGAGAATAAAGTTAGCGAAGACTGATAACCTCGCACTTAAATACGTGCTAGTTTGAAATTTGTAAAATTGATGTGAATAAACAAATATCTTAAAATCCATTCATCTCCTCAGAATATGGCGAATCTTGCATGAATTCTAATGTTTTGACAATAGATAGGTTAAGTTATCAGTATCTCATTATTATATTGATAAATACTCATGCTATCCTATAAGCCAGTGTGTACCAATAGATTTGGTTGAGCCAGTTTCTCAACAGTAGTAATAATAATATTAACGGTAATCAGAACAAGATAACATGCAACATTTGCTGACCTTCTTTGAGTCTCCGAAGGACCATTTTAAAGACTGATTTTTTAAATCTTTGCTTGATTCTTGTGTTTCTGAGAGCCCAGACAATTGCGGGAGACTGTGATATGATATTTAAATTCATGATTGTTGATTGAAGTTTATGTCAATCCTTTTCTAGCAAATTCCTGTGCTTGTCCGAAACCTCCTTGAATGAATCAGTTAAGGTTACTGTAACAACTTCTTCTTGGAGTTGGTTCCAAGAGTTGATGACACGGTGTGACAAACAAAACTCTACAGCAGTATAGTTTCCTCTCAGCTTTGGACTCTCCTTCTATGTCTTCCAAGGTGTTCCTACCTGATGGGAAGGATAGACAGAATAGATCAGGTCCGTAATCATTATTTGAAATTTTAAACATTGCAATTAGATCTCTTCCCTGCCTACTCTATGAAAGGGGGTAAAGTCTTTCCTCGTACGTTAGATTACACATGCCAAGAACCATGTGCGTCACCTTCCTCTGAACTCTTTCTGGAATGTGTAAGTCCCCTTTAAGACTAGGACTGGCTGGCTGCGCGGATACAGTTTTCCAGGCTTAACCTCACCACACCTATATGTGAGAAGGTTAACATATCTCCACTGATTCTGGTAAAATCCCTAGTTCGCAGGAGTTGATGCTTGCGTGTTCTATGCTCATGATTGCACTTTTCGCTAAGTTGATCGGTAGTATCCATTGTCCGGATCACTCTGACAATCTGTTGAGGTCTTCTCCCAGCGTGAGTGCATTATTGTTACCCTTCAGCTCCATTTGCAAGTCATGTATGTATAAGACCATAGGGAAACTGGTGGGCACAGATAACCCAGAGGTATAAAAAATAAGAAGAGGCCGGAGAACAGTGCCTTGTGGAGTCCGCTACTCACTGTTGTAGGGGAGGAGAGTTTTGAGGTAATCCTTGCTCTACACCTCCTACCTATGAGTTCCCTGATCCAGTTTAGTAAGCCGCCTTTGATCCCAAGACTTTCCGATTTCATGGTCAGTCTTTTGTGAGGTACTTTGTCGAAGGCTTTGGTGAAGTTTATGAAGGTGACATCAACGGGTCTTACCTAGCTTTCTCTAGCCGTAGGAAGGTTTGACAGGCATGAGAGATTTCTCCGGAAGCCATACTGCGCTCCGGACAACAAGTTGTTGCATCCAGATATCCCATGATGGCTTTCTGGATGATTCTTTCCAGTGTCTTTATTAGGGTGCTGCTGCGACTAATAGATCTGAAGTTTGAACTGTATTCATCTTGCCTTGTGGATGGGGGGTTACTATGGCGTCTTTCCAGTCGCACGGTAACACTCCATTTAGGAGAGATCGCTTGAAGATCGTAATTAGTGGGCCGGCTATGTGAGCTGATAGCTCCATGAGAAGCCTTGCATGAAGATCATCAGGACCCATTGATTTCCTTGAATCTAGTTTCTTTAGGCAGTTGGGCACAATGTCTTGGTCGAGATCAACGAGGTATACCCTGTGTTCCTCTGAGGGACTGATGATCATGTGTACAGACTTTGGAGAAGCAATCTGCCACTGCTTCTGCTTTTTCTTGATCCCTTTCGAATATGTCGTTGTTAGTTTTGTGGTTTAGGCTCATTTGGATGTCTTATTCCTGAAGTTCATGCATGAGAAAATTTTCTTATGTTGTGCTGTTGCATTTTGAACCAGACACATTTGGAACTTCATCCCTGATTGGCGGATTTCTGAAACAGCTTTTTCCTGGCGTTGTATAATTTTTCAGTCTCATGAGTTTCAAGTAAAGCAAACAGGTTCCAGCATCTGTGTTTACGTCTGAGTAGTTTACAGATCTCTTGGTTTATCCAAGAGAAGCAATTTTTCCTACCCTTTGGGACAGACAAGGGGATGAAAACTTCAGTTCCTTGGGCATAAAATCGTTTAAACTGGTTCCATGCGGCTTATAAATGGGGCTCTGGCTTTATGTGCCAGTTCACTGAGTTGACTGCTGAGACGATAGCATGTATATCATCCGAAGGAATTGGTCGAGTTGGGGATTGCGCATATTGTACTGCTGCTGTAAACTCGAAAATGGGCACAGCGTGACCACTTCTTCCTAGAGGAGGAAAAAGGAGTATGAGGTATTCATCCTCACCATGGGGTAACACCAGGTCCAGGGTGGAAGAGGAGTGCTGTGAGTCATAGGGCGTGGGCTTCATGACATGTTGGACTAGGGTTAACGAAATGCTAGATTCCAGCAGTTTGTGGTCAAAGGAGTTGTCTGAAGGCGGTATTGTAAACCTTCTCCAGTCAACTGTTGGTGCGTTGAATTCACCAACTACTGGACCTCGATATTTCTACGTCCAGAAGCCTAGATTATCTATTTGGAATTCATCCATACTGCAGTCAGGACTGCGGCATGTAGCGACCAGGTCAATATCTTGGCCCACTCATTTAAGTCTGCAGCATAAAAGCTAGCGCGCTCCACTTTCGTGTGCGAGGGCTTCAATGCCACATATGGTTAGGTATTTCTTGAGGCAGATGACTACGCCATCTCCGTTGCGGCTTAATCGATCCACCCTATACATTGTGAATTTTGGCAGGTTAACTTTGTTATCGGTGACAGCGGATGACAGCAATGTCTCTGTGATCAAACTGTTAGCTCAATTTGGTGCTCCCATGCCTTACCAACAGAGGTTTCGGAATTATCAGACTTCGACAACCTGGCAACCCTCAGTCCTTGGGATTTTCTAGCCGCTTCGGTACCGTTAGCTTAATTCTAGAGCCACAGACTGCCTTATGACGCGGTCTGCTAGGTATAAGTCAGTTCGGGTGTATATGGCTGATCCCTGCAGAGTTCGAGAGTTGGTTAGTTAGCATGCCTCTCTGTTTTCTAGTTTAGTACGACTTTGAGAAGGCATGCCGGCTGATTTACTGTAGAGTCAGCATTCTATTCGATTCGGCAGAAGTTGCGTCTAGTTTCACCTGGTACTGTTGTTGGCAGTAACTCACCTACGCAGGTTTGACTAGTTTAAGGTCGTGTTCAAACATGGCCTTGAGATCCCAAGCCAGTTATTCTTCTGCTTTGTGGAGATTGAGCGACCTGTCGGAGAGATCAGGTTTGCTTGCGGCGGCTTTCTGGCTCTTCGGTGAAAGCGTCTTTCCGTCCTTCGTGGACACTGTGGCTTTTGCGGCAGCTTTACCTCGCTTTATGCAGAGGACTATATTACGCAATTCGTTGGCACACTCATCGCTATCCATCGTTGGTTGTGTCTGCGTACTATCCACTTACGGAGATGAGGCTTGATCTACAATACGCAGCGTACACCACACTGTCATCTGGAGTTGGTATTCATACTTTGTCATACTCACTGGCAGTATTTGGACGCTCTCAATCTACTTGTCTTGATGGCAGGTTTTTGCCGAATACACCAAATTTAACATTCAATAGACAACGAGCTATTCATCGTGGAATGTTTCTTTCGGAACTCCACCAATGATTGTTGAGGTGGTCTGAGATGCTGCAACCGCAGTTGAGTGACAACCGATGAAGTTTGTTCACTAGGCAACGCTTTCACCAACGGCTGCTATTCAATGGGGTATCCCAATAACGTGATACTTCAGAAGCGAAAATAATTTGATGAAATTGAATGACATCAGTACCATGCAAATTTCATTTCCTGTTTTCGAATTTATTCTGCTTGTTCATTTGCAATTCCGATTCCGATTGGTGGAGCCAACGAGACTTCCCGAATTTCGCCATCGTTTTCCAACTACATAGTCAACTCTAAATTTCGTTTTGTCTGTCCACCCTTCACAGGCCGGTTCACAGATTCTGCCGAAGCTGCTGAAGATAAATTTCCTCATGAATAATCGTTCTAT